GTGTTCGGGGAGTTAGGTGCTACTGAGCATGGCGGATACATTTAGAGCTTCATCGGCCTCTTTGCATTTCCATTTTATTGGATAATTATCTGGCGGTTATGTTCATTTCTTTAGATTATCGGAATGTTGGGCATCTGGAGATAATTGCCACGATGCTCCCACCAGACTTGACCAGTGCTTTGGAGACACCGATGATCAGACACTGACATCTTCCGTATGTCCTCTGCGCGTAGGGACTAGGTCTTGGATCCATAAACAGTATGGATCACACCACCGCAGTATAAACTCTTCCCTTGGCTGGATCCATAAAACAGTATGGATCACACCACCGCAGTGTAAACTCTTCCCTTGACAGACAAGCTCCCTCCCGACACTTGTATTTATTTATTCATATCCCCTACCACAACGCATTTTGATTACTGTCTCCGCGGTGCACTGTACTGGTGGGGTACCGGTTCAGCTTACGTCAAGCTCGGCTGCAGCTTCTGCGCAGCCGTCTTCTGTAACAGCCCTAAGCACTTAGAATTCGGTTGTCAGATCTCGAAAGCCGCTTTGGTTAGCTGTCCTTGATGTCCGCACACTGACGCTAGGGTGTCAATAGTCTGGCCTTGCTCGTACACCGTATTCCTTCTGGATTGCTGTACTCCGTATTTTAGAAACTATTTAAAAAAAACAGCTGCAAACGTAACTAGACAACACAACTGCCAATGGAATAACCTTTTTCGTTGAGATTTAATTGGTTGCTCCTCACTTGCCCTTGATAGATGAGTTCTATTGTTAGCATCACTTCTTGGCCCACCTGGAACATCCCTCGTGCGCTTTATGAACAGCCCGTTTTTGGCTGCACATGACACGCCTGTACGCGTCAGTGTTCATTAGATCAGCTGATTCTCACGTTTATTGGCTTTCTGGTTTCACTACGCGCATCAAGCAACTATCCAGACTCGGGTTCGCGGTATTAAAAAGGCATTAAGAAAACTTTATTTCAAAACAGAAACAAAAGTTGGGGACACAAGTACTGTCTCTGTGCTCTCTTTTCGCTTCCGGCTGCACAGCTCGGGTGATTAGGAAACCGCTGCAGCTGGATGTCGAGTCGGGTACTGTGTCCCTACTTGATTGGACACTCGTTCAAAGTTCCATATACCCGGTTCTTTTTGCATCCTTTATGGAAGAATCTCGAAAAGGAGTCGGTCGTTGTCACTGTATCTGGTTACGTTCCAACAGACTGCGGCTGGAGGTAGCTGAGGGATTAGGGCGTGAATTCGGCGACTTTGTGGTTTTGTTCGGTCCTACCCCGATATTTTAACTACTCTTATCCAGGCTGGGGCAACCGGGATGTAAATCAGCCCTCGTGCATGACAGCTTTGCACCGAAAGGGTTTTACAGCTAAACGATCACTATCTATTTGATTGAACTGAATTCGCCAAGTAACTTTAACGAGCCAAAAGCTGGAACATAGTTTTGCTCGCTGGTGACATAAAGCCACGTGTAGGCAGGCCTAGCGCAGCTGAGGCTTAATTGATGGTTATCCTGGATTGGACGCGAGATGCGTAAACACTGAACAGCGTGTGTGTGTTGTCCGTTTTTTGGCAGTGACAGTTTCCGGAATATCGAAGACCGCTTGTTCACCGAATAATCAGCATTGAACCCAAATAAACCACATGGTCACCAGTTACCAATGACGAAGATCGATGACTGCCTACTGCTGCTTGAACAACTTCATCAATACAAGCTGCGCATTTGTCTGTTGTTGCGCTTTATGAGAGACACTGCAGAAGAGTTCGTATCTGAACGTATGAGAGAGTAAAAGCTCTGGGCATGCCTCGGCTGTTTTCCAGTTTGACACAGTACGAACGTTAAAACATCCTATGTAAAAAGAATCTTGTGGATTTATCGTCTTTATTTTGTTTATTTGAACGACAGCGGGTTGGATAAGGCGCATCTGTTAGACAACTGACAGGCAAGTGATCCTGGGATTTTTGATTGTAGGGTAGAAAGGGAATGGAATTGACAACGGTGAACCAACAGCTGTGCTGGCAAGTGGTACTGTCTGGTTTCCTAGATCGTGGAATGGGGTTAAGTTGAGGTGAAGCATTTTATGGCAGTGAAGTGTCAGTGCCATCACTGTTGTTACTGTCTTTGATGATAATGATGATGATGAGGTATCCCACTTTGAGCCTTTGACTTAAAAGTCTGACTCATAAGACAATGGCAGAATGCACCAGTGCACCGACCGTAACACTTGATCCACAAACATCAGGTAGTCGGGCCATCTTGAGAGACCAATGACTAATTAATTTGACCCGCTTGGTGACATAAGCTAACCCAATGCGCGTGTTTGGGGAGTTAGGTGCTACCGAGCATGGCGGACATACGTAGAACTTCATCGGCCTCTTTGCATTTTCATTTTATTGGATAATTATCTGGCGGTTATGTTCATTTCTTTAGACTATCGGAATGTTGGGCATCTGGAGATAATTGCCTGTTTGACTGACTGATCTACACAGAGCTTCCGTCCTTTGCAATCCTGATTCATGACATGATGGGACCTCCATCAGGTTCAAACGATATTTCACTGTAAATCGACTTCAAGGTACTCCCTTGTTTGACCCGAGAGAATGGATGAAAGAGATCCTTTGAGCTTCCAGTGCCTCTGTGCTCTTTTTCTGCTGCATGCACTTCAATGGTATGCTGGAATTCCATGTGCACTTCCAACACAACTATAAGTTCTCGCACTTTTGATATCTCGAGATAATTCCTGCCCAGCACTACAAGTCAAGTGTCTACGTTTCCATTCGTAACACAAGTGCCTGAATTTGTGAGCACACTACTTGTCAAGTTTCTCTTTTTTTGTCCAAATTTAAACGGGAACTTTTGTGGTATCTGGTCTGTTGTGGAGGTCACGTAGGCGGCCGGCCAGTGATAGAGTATTCGTCTGTGAAGTCACTGGTCAATGTATGACGAACCATATGTGGAGCTCAAGAGCGTGAAACACTGTCCGAGATAGCTTAGCTGGTGGAACACCGATCTGACAATCGACTTTATCCCCAGGCATTTGAGTCTTTGGTTACATCGTAACTTCTCAGCCTAAGTTAACCCTGAATTGCTCAACAGCTTTAAACAGTCGTTCCCTCTGGAAACACTGTCTTCTTGCCATACTGGATAAAAAATCTAGTGACCACTTCTTTGATTAATGCGAAAAGAATTGAAATTTTCGTTAGATCTGATGTAGAATGATTAATTTTTCAAACTTTGGTCCAATATCTGTGAAGTACCTTCTTTGTGGATCCCGTTCTTCCGTCGTAACGTGTTTCCTCTCCATTTAACCACATACACTCAACGTATTATTAAAAGACCCAATCATGGACATTTCCGCACTGTTTCGTTAACCGACACTTCCCTGCTTTGTATTTCTGTGATAACCTGAACTTTTTTCAGTAAGTTATCAGAAATTAAACTCTAAGGACTCCCGATCTTGAACTTTTTTAGTTTCGGTCAAAGACAACTTTGCCGGTGACGGGATAAGACCGTATATTAAATGCCACACATGATATCCTCTTTATGGAACCTCTGTGTGCAGCAAAAGAACTCTTAGTGGTGAAAAACAGAAGCGGAATGTATTATAGTCTGTATACTTGCCTTTTGGGTTAATATTTTGGCTTCCACTCAATAAAACGAAAAGCAATTCGTCGCATTGGATCTTCTTGAGCCTTCTTTGTTACATACTTTTCGTCTTGTGGCGAAGAAATGCTCAAGTGTTTATTTGCTTCCTCATCCATATACATTGTTGTGTGGTTTTCGCGCAACCTTGCACCTTTCTGTCTTCAAAATCCTTACCTTCCATTCACTTCATCGCACGATAATGCCTGGCTTGCGAATCGCTTTCTCCACCGAAGTAAAGGAGCTCTGATTTGGGTAAGGTGATTGCTTAGTGAACCCACAAACAACAGCACTCCAATCGAGCTAACCCCCAGCGTCAAACAACTCCACTGAAAATCAATTTGGGGCGCTGAGTTTTTCCCACTGCACATCTTGCAAACAAACTCGCCGGAATCGGGGAGGGGTCCGTCTTGGTCCTCCAATTAGTTACTCCCAGAGAAGAAAAACTAAAATTGGCGTCAACGCAGCCTTATTGATCCACCATCACCTTAATCAGTGTTTCATTGGTCCAACTGACCGAACTCATTTTGACCTGTCCCATTGCACACAGCACCATTTTGGGAACGTTTCTTAGTTCGAACAATGATTGAAGACAATAGAGCTGGAGGAAGCGATGAGACAACAAATGACAACCCAACTCAAGTTTCCGACAGTTCTGACTGTTTTTGTTGTATCATCATCATCGTTGACAGTAGTAGACGAGTGCTTTAGCGCCGTAGTATTTCCACCAGTGCGATGTTTTATGGAAGTGGGAAGTTAGATAGCAAGAATAGGCTGTTTAACAGGTATCCAGTCAAGCAATGTAGCCTCAACTGGCGAACTTGGGCTTATAACAGCGCCGGCACACCCCACTAAAGTACCTTCAGAATCGCTCGAATTGTGTAGTCTGCAGCATCTGAACAGGCTGCCCTAAGCGCAATATCTATAATTGCATTCATTCTTGCATTTCATAAATGCAGCAGACATCAGTGCCCTAGGCGCAGTATCCGCAATTGCATTCTGTCTTGCATTTCATAAATGCAGCAGACATCAGTCGACAGAGTATATAGGGTGCGCTCAAGAGCAGCTTACAAGAATAGGAACGTTTGTGCCTCCCAGGGGACACCAGGATACCAGTGAAATTTCATAGCCGTGCGGAGCGGTGCGGTTCTTATTGACAACCATCCAACGGGAGCACATTCCCGCAAAGCGAATCTTTTGGATCCCCAATGTCTCCTCAATGAAGTAGAGTACCATCCATGAATTTCGTTGACCATGAGGAGCACTTGGAGTTGGTGTAAATCTGTTGAATTGCTTCTATACAAATATCATTGTTGGTCTCTGTCCATATATTTATTCAGTATTGCAACTGTTTTCCGCCTTCAAGATCGGAGGCTCTTGTGACGGGACCGTCTGATATGATGGGACAAGCTACTTTGCAAAAGATACATACGAGCCTAATCGATATCCGTGACCGATTGTCTAATCTGAAATGTAAAACTGTTGAATTGCTTCTATACAAATATCATTGTTGGTCTCTGTCCATATATTTATTCAGTATTGCAACTGTTTTCCGCCTTCAAGATCGGAGGCTCTTGTGACGGGACCGTCTGATATGATGGGACAAGCTACTTTGCAAAAGATACATACGAGCCTAATCGATATCCGTGACCGATTGTCTAATCTGAACTTATCAGCTGGACAGAGTTGTGAAACGAAAGCTGATGGTGAGTTAACGGCCAACATATGTCACTTTATACAAGCATACATATCCTGGGAAATGTTTGGTTTTCGTAAATCAGTGTTCCAATGAGTTCTTGGGATTAAATTGTTTGAACCACGACTTTCCCGCCAAAAAATTGAAGAGGGTATACAGAACCACAATGTTTCTCGATACCGCAGGTTTATTTCTACTTATCATCTCTACTGCAGAAGGTATCCCATGAATAAAACAGAACAAGATTGGACCAACTCAAGCGCCAAAGAGATGCCAGTGATGTAACCGATTCCACCTTCTACGCAGTTTGAGTTTCTGCCTTGTGACAACGATGGATCCACGCTTTGCACCACTTTGCACACAGATGGAATGCAGATGCCGGATATACATGTCGTAATTTCAACTAAATGGTGGGCTGTGGATGAAACCGATGTGGATCGTGTAATTTGAATCGGTGTCCGAATCGGGACGTGTTTCACCTCGGTAAATGATCTAGCTTCCACGCATATAAATCGGTAAACCAGTGGGGCATGACCTACTGATCGGTCGGGGTGCCGTTTCATTTGTAGATAACCACATGTTTGGTAGCATAGCAGATATGTTCAGTGGCCTGGGTTGGACACTGTTCAACCAACTAATTAATATCATCTTCGAATTCTAAATTCAGAAAAACTGCTTTTGGGGCCAAACGGACCCGTTATTGTTCGATCAAGGCATACTCTGCTTTTTCGTTACTGCATTCGAGTGAAATGCATGCCTCGCCAGGTATTAGGTTACGCGTTGACAGTATCTTTAGTGCCTACCCTATTAGAAGGGTTACGAACTGACTGCATGATTTAGCCTAGCTGCCGTGCTACCCGAAGTGAGCACGACGGTCAAGATGCTACCAAGTTACCCATGCCTGGACACTCGAGATGCAGAGGTCGGTTCGAACTACGAACCTTTGGATCAGTAAGTTCATGCCTTAACCGCTGGGTGAGCAGGATGCGTCTTTTACATTTCCGATTCTCGTTTATCCTTAACTCGACATCGATCCAGTCGCTGTCACTATGTATTCGTTTTTCTCTTATGAACATTTGTGAATTCTTACTGAGCTAGGATACCGTTGACACTTGCAGGCATCTGTTTTTCTAATGGACGGCGTAAATTCGTGTGTCTTTTCGCACAGTTTTAGCTTCGCTACCATAAGATCTTCGTTTTAGCTCCGTTTAACCGGGCAAGATGGCCCAGTGGTTTGAGTGCGAATTTATTGATCAAAAGGTCCGTGGTTCGAACCGGACTTCTGTATCTCGAGTTCTGTCTAGGCTTGGACAACTTGACAGTATCCCAGCCTTCGTGCTTCCTTTGGCTGGCATGGCAGCTAGGCACTGAAAGAATGTTACAGCTGAACGATTATTCATTATTTATACTCCCTTTCTCCAAAGAGGCCTGAGCTATTCGCTCTTGCTACATTCATACGATCAATCATGATTTTGACGACTGCCACGGAAAATAACTTTAGCACACGATCACCTTCAAACCATCTAGGATGGTAGCGATCGCGTTTTCCTCATTTTTGTTGCTAGTCAGCTAGCCTATTGGTGATATTTCCCCACAACTAATGTGAGCAGACAAACTGCGTAAGGCCAGTGGTTCGGGCTCATACCAGGAAGTCCTTCTATCCTATTTTTTGTATTGAAGCCCCTCGTTTCGATATTTATCAAACGCCCCTATTCCTAACAAGTTTTACTATCGGAAACCGAGAGAACAGAAAACTCTGACCGTGGGATTTCCAAAAATTCCATTCAGGAGTAGGTTTGCCAGAAATTCTTCAATGAGTTATTTGCCTGTCGTCTATTACGGAGTCCATCATTCTCAGTAAGGACTGGAAGTTCACTTTGCCGATTGCCCTGATTACAGGAGGCTGATTATTATTTGTGGTGGAGATTTTGTCCTGTAAGGGAAACCAATCCATGCTAAAGAACCGAGAACTAGTTTACAGATGTTTTATCCTCATTGGGAATCATCAGCATCTGGCGAAACTCCTGAGAGTCTTGAACCCGCGACCCCTCCTCCCCCGGCTAGTACTTTGAACACTTAACCGTTCGACCACGATTCTTATTTCATTTGTTCTTAGCATACATGGACCCAAATAATGCACCAATTGCATGGAATATCACTGTGTTTGCTTCATCATTCACAACCTCTAAGATATGTGTGAAGTACTCATTTTTGTCCAACGGTTCGGGTTGTTTCATTGTCCTTTGAACTCCCAAACCATTCCCACACTTGATTGTTGCAGACCATAACATCTAGGTACTTACCTTCTATAGACTAAATCATATCCAAGACTTTTCATGCTGTTTTGAACCCCTGCTCGTCTTTCTCTGTTCCACAGATAACGGTCCGTCGGAAGTTGTCAAACGCGAGGCTGACGATGTGAAGAACGAAAAGCTGGTCAAAGGTATCGTCGCATTTGACTTTTACTGAAACATCTTTCCAGAAACTAAGGCTAAAGAGGCAAATGAGGAGCAATCGAAACCTGTGAGTCTCGTACAACCGAAGTTTGTTGAACCTTCTCAGTCAGCTAGCGGCACGTTTGCCGAACACTTTTGCTTACTTATGAGTAGTCGCTGGTTTTATGGGATTTGAATCCACGTCAGTCTTGTCAGCCCTGACCTAGCATGATTTTTCTCTTTAGCTCAAGCCAAAAGAACTGGACTCGAGTTCCAGCATGGTATACATCCTCGGTCGTACTGCGATTCGAAACGAGCAAACATATTCATACTTGGATGGTGCGCACTGACTCCTCAAACGGTGACCCCGTTTTGTCTGGCAACCGCTTTCGGCTGGTCCTATCAAGTTCCCATTTTGACCTCTGTATTTGTCGTAACGACCGTCAAGGCGTGTGTGCGTGCGCCCACTATACTCCTCTACACGCCAAAGATACTTATAAATTTTGCAACACAACCGTTGAATTCACTGACAGGTCCGTAGTTGTGACTTAACCCTGTTCAAAGCAGTCGTACAGGGATCTAACATGATTCTCATGATTACTTTTCCCCATTGGATTATTTCTCCTTAGTTCAGTTTTCGTTATCTTTTATCGGCTTGACGCGTCTGATAGTAGGCGACCAGTACGGTCACTTTCCCCCTTCCTAACGAGTATGCTCAGCAATTCACTAAGGCGGTTTGTTGGGGCACACCGTATTACTCAACATTTGGTACCCAGAGGTGCGATTTCTACCCATTCGTTTGGCAACGCACAAGTACGCTGCACCTTACGCGTGCCACTTGTGTGACACGTTTTTTGCGATGAACAACCAACCACTATTGATTCTTAAAGGCCCCTTCCGTACCATTCTATCCTCACCGGTTTTTTCCGATCGCTCTGTTTTTTACCCGCTCCCATCCACTGGTTTCCACACACTTCCATCGTGCTGTTTTTTTTGGCAGCATTGGTCTTCTATTTGAGACAGTAGATGACAGTCCTTTGGTTCCCTTGCCTCTAATCGCTACATTTCTTGTGAATTGCCCTGTTAGCCTCACGAGGGTCCCTACGGCGGATTGCGCCAATTTATACTCCATTTTGTAGAATTGGCAAACCGTCCTTCAAGGATTGGTTTGACCATGCGAATTGTCGTGATATAAGGAGAAGGGATTGATGGTATGTGCACCTGCATCCCCCCTACTTCGTCACTTTTGGTCTGGTACTGTTCGCGGGTTTCCTGCTGGCATCATTGAAAGGTTGAGCTATATCCCCCTCGGTTTCAAAGACGAGCAACTGTACACTACACCCACCGGAATTCGTTGCTTCTGGAACCGTGAAAAACAGCTACCCATGATTCCTCTCCTGTCCCATCCACATTTCTGACCCCATGGGGTTCTCAACTCGCTCTGTAAAAAGAAAACTTTGCTACTCACCCAATCCTTTTCAACCTCCTCTCCCCAATCAGGCGGACAGTATTCAGTCGTGTATGTAGACAGACGGACAGAGTCGCGCGTGTGGTTACGCCCATCTTCACCCCGTCTCCTACACGAACTCATCAGGTTGTCTTCTTATTGATCGCGTGTTTTTGTCATTGGTGTAGACCAGAAAGTTATCTTTGTTCATGTACTTTCATACAAGTACATGTAGTTGCCTATCACCCTACAATTTGGTCTCATGAAGCGTCCCAACACAACCCCAAATTCCACTCCATTTTACGGTTGGGTCTAAAACTATTTCCTACCACAAACTAGAAATGTTGTTCAATGGCTGCTGTGTTCAGACAACCGTAAACTTGGTCCGAGTTGTCTCCCCCGTACTCTGTATCTGTGCTGCGTGGCTCCTAATCGGATCCACACATCTGGCACGCAGTCTTCGTCTCCTTCGGAATTTTCTTTCGTTTCCCGTCTTCCCAACAATTTGCAGTCTTCAAATTTTTATGGTAAGGTCCTATTTTATCCGCCCACACCTCATTCACTCTTCAACGGTGTACTGTTCAATGTCTAGATTCATCATTGTCGACAGGATAACATAAGTGTTTCGCAATGATGTTCCGCTCTCCCTTGGAGTGGTTTTACGTGTTTCACTGGCTTTTAACCAATTCGATGTCCACAATACCTACAGAAGTTTTCTGATTACGAGTCCTCTGTTCCCGTGTAAACCACTTTTGTGAATAATAAATGGGGCTGTTCACTAGCTTGCAAACTGTTGCAGATGGTAATTTGCGTAGCAAGTGGATAATTCTCACCAGCAAGGTTTCGCTTGTTAAAAAATGTGACTTTGGACATGTCAAAAGGACTGTTGTTATCGCAGCTACCTTGTGGGGCTCCAATGGTCCGGAAACAGCTTTAACTTGCCGTCAACTTGTTCAGATAGTCATCTGACTGTTGATGGCCAGTCAGGACGTTGTATGCGAATAGCCACCGGTCCTCCCTTTGCCATGATGACTACTGCTTTGCCATGGTTACTAGGTCATGGGTTTCGGTTTTAACCGGGGGGTAAAGCGGAAATGTCCTCGGGTCTCGGTAGTCTACTCACCCGAGGCCTGTAGTTGCATTGCAGTTGCATTTTTTCGCCTGTTTTTCACCCGAATTCCTTGGTTTTGCGTTTCTTCTCAACAGTCAGCCGACAAACGCCAGGTTGATCCTTTACACGAGCTTTTCCAGAGGAAACTGGCACTTGCTCTCGAAGAATGCTACCCAGATTTGCCATCCCCGGGGAAACCAAACAGCGAGCGAGATCCATCAGAGGAGTCGAAAAATAAACGTAAAGTTAAATTTAAGGGAACGCAAGACAACACTGGGGATGAGGAAGCGGATGACAAGCAAGAATCGCCATCGCGCGAAGGCCGAAATGTAAGTTCGTTGTAATTAGTACAAATCCCGTGGGACCTTGTTCACAATGCTACTACTGTTTGTGTTTTCAGTGACCTCAGAACTCAATCCCACTGGTTACGACACTTGTGGTGCATCTGGATGCATTGGTCAAGTAGTTCTTGCTGTTTTTCGTGGCACCTACGCCGTCCGCTATTTTAATTAATGCAGGTAATCCCGTAAGTTTATACGTCCCTTGTATCGGATGACAGATTGACTGGGACCAAATACAATGGTCCATCTAATAGGGTTCACCCGGCCCACATGACCGAAATGGTCCTTTCTAGGCGAGATATCGATAACTGAATCGAATTCTAGGGAGCCTACACGTCCGTTTGTACTTTGCTTTAGTTGCTGTTCTACTTTTAGCAGAAATATATTTAAAACATGTGTTCCAATCATATGATTTCGATGTGGTCCTTGGATGTTCACTGTCTGTAGGATTCGGTCGTCAGTGAAATCTACCAGCAGCCGTTTAAACAACTTGTGAGCGCGAAACAAAGTGGTCAACCAAATGAAGTGAAACCGATTGAATCGGCGTTTGACTGCGTGTCCCAGAAATAAGCTAGTACCCAACTCAATATAGATTCCGCATTGATCCTGATTGAGACAAGCAAAGTGGTCACCCGCGTCTGTTCCGCCAGGACGAACACTTCGAAGAGCCGGTTAACTGACCGGTACAATGATCAAAGCGCAACCAGCTTCGTAGTGGGACACGTGTTGCTCGATTCCAAAAGAGAAGATGAAATCGAAGCCGATATTACACCTATAGGGGAAACAAACCGCGCGATGTTGACTGTCTTATCTATTCCCTGGCTTGTTTAGTGCCGGAGTGCTTGTTTACAATCTCTGAAAACTCATGCAAGACATTTGGATAGTGAGTGAAATGTCAGCACAGTGGCCGTACCTACCTGTCCTTGAAAGAGGTGTTATATCTGTGTGAGAGAATGGTTATCAGTGTAGCCACCGTTGCTTCTGAACTGGTGTCATCCTACGTGGGTTTATCGGTATTCGCGAAAAGTAGAGTCGTGAAACTCAAGCGAAATTCACTATCGTTGGGGGATTCATCGACAACTTCCTTAGTGCCACACATAGCAAGTCAATAATTGTTATCTCATTTTCGATTCCGTTGGCTGTTTCATTTTGTAGTGACGTATTTTTCCATACATTTTTCCAACATTTTGCCGCATCATGATACTTGTACTTTGTCACTCTGTTGCTCAAAAGTCTACAAGCACTGTTCGTCTGAGCTGCCCTTTGTCAGCCTTCCTTTTAAACTTCATAGTTGGAGTAGTTACCGAACAAATGCCCACTGTGCCTTCAACCTCACTCCCGGAGCTTCTTCTCGAGGAGTATGTGGACGCTATCGTGCTACCTAGTCCAGATTCCATCCGGGTACACAAAAAAGTACAAAGCCACGTAAATAATTTACCGTGCGATTTGTCTTGTACCGTGTAGTCTGCAAAATGTTATTGCAAGACTGCCTAAGTGCACAATCGATGCAGAACTACTGCTGGACAGATTTACGTACCTGCATAGTTAACTCCCTTTTGGATGGCAAAACATCCAACGCAGTGAATGCTAAAAGGGCTGACCCGTTCTGCTTTTCTTGAACTTGGGCAAATTTCGGTTGATGTGACTTAGCCTCCTCAAGGAAACTAGAGTCTACAGCGCGGCATTGCGTCCAGCGTTGTTTAGTGGTTATGAAGCGCGGTTGCTATGCTGAAGACAGAAGCAGATCAGTGCCTTCTAACCGTTGCGAATTTATCATAAGACCAATGGATTGTCAATGCTTCCCTCCCCTGAGAAAGGGTGGTTTAGAAAAGGTAGGCCCTAAACCCGCTCGACGATCAACCATGACTGCCAGTGAACTATCCAATACAGTCGAAATACGCCTAAAACATTCCAGAGCCCGACGCGGCTCTACGTGCACCTGCCGTGTGCGTAGAATCGGAATTGAGACATGTATGCCCTACTCACCGCGCCATCGCGCCAGAATGGTCCCTCGGAACCAAGCGGGTCAACCTATTGTCGTTGGCTCAGAACGGGTCCTGCAGGATAGACCTGCTACCCACTGTTTTGTTACACTCTTGAGTCAAAGGCTACGGTCTGGGTACCGAAACAAAACTCGGCATTATGTCATCGCTTTACGGGNTTTAGCCAGAGCTCAAGTTCGGATGCTTCAACTCAACTCTGTTCCTCGGCCTGGACAACTGGAAAGTATCATCCGTCCTTGCAGATTTTCTTTCAACGGCCTCCTCCCACTTTCTCCTGGTTCAATAAGCGGCGCACTGCGGTCAGTCCATCCGCCAGCTCCCCGGCGACTTTTCCGTGTCTAAAATATCACTCAGGATAATAAACTGATTCACATTTTATGTCCGGCGATGCTGATACGGTGGTTCGTGGTATTATCTATGGTGTGGGACTTGCACTCAGCCCTAGGGACGGAAGCACGTTACCAGACTAAGTCCCACAGAACACTTGGCTTTACGCTGTACAGCTGTGTGGTTCAGCCGTGTGAATCCAGGGAACGCTGGTGGATCTGACCCACAGAACACTTGGCTTTACTCTGTACAGCTGTGTGGTTCAGCCGTGTGGATCCAGGGAACGCTGGTGGATCTGAAGACTCAGGAGATGGATGGAGAAGGTCACAACCTTGCCCTATCTCAGATGAATGGCTAAACTAGTCAGTGAAAACAATTTGGGAGAAAGATGGAACTATGATTCATTTGCAAAATCATCCTTCTGATTGATGAGCTGAACACTTTGAATATCAGTTCAACTGGCCTCCTTCAGCACTAGCTTTGCAGCACCGAGCCCAACCGATCATCAGCAACATAATTCCAGCATGCGACATCATTCGTCAGGTGGGACAAGGCACCCAACCTGGATTTTGGTCACACCGAGGTTTCCAAAGAATTTGGTGAAGCCGCGGCGAAGGAAATGCAATGCATAGCTCTTCAGGGGTCGTTGGAAACTCGTACAAATGATGTCCCTTCTCTTTCTGGTGAAACATTCGCAAACAAACTACACAGCTCGTCGAATGGACCAGAATTTACAATGAAACAACATTAGTTTGCCGGTTGATGGTCAAGCAGATTGATTTGCAAACGCTCGCTGGACTGAATTGAATATTTTAGTCTTCAGTGTTTTTTTGTTCCGTTTGAACTGTATAATTACCATTGGTTTGAAGGATTTAAATATATTTGCTGTGTGAAGCTAACACCCTATCGAAAAGTCCATTAATTTTTCGCATTCCACTTCAATCCCACAGAGGTTAGCAACGTACATGTGATTATTTGACCAAAAGTGGAATATACTTTATCCGGATTTGGGCGTGGCCAAGAAACGCGATTAACTCCCAAGGATGGGTGCTTGAGAGTGTTTCCATTAACATTGTGAACCAACTTGGACTGGTTATTTTAAGTGGATAAGGCTGGCCAGCGATTCCATCGGAGTGTGTGAAATCAGGGTGGCTACTTGGCGTAGACGGCTAATTAACTGTATTTCCAAAAATAACACCAATAGGAACGAATCAAATCTTGTCTGTGGTGAATAAATTTATCTGTGGTCAAGGCAGATGTATCTTTTCATTTCACATAAGACTTTTTTTCGTTTACTATTCCATTCCATGGCGATTTTTTGATTTACTCCATTCAGTGGAAATTCCCATCAGCTGTTATTCCTAAACACTTTTGATATTATCGTAAGGGGTGTGACAATTCTCGGTTATGAACGAAATCCCTATTCCGCAAAGCCCCAAAAACTGCAACCCAAAAGTTGCCCAGTGGGTTTCAAGTGTGTGTCACCCTACCTGACTGGAAAGTTCTGATCGATCATCACATCCAGGACAGTTACTGGGTCGTCGTTCGATGAATCGGGCACACCAATCACATCGCTCGAGTGTGAACACGTTCGCCTATTCAGACGTGAAAATTCAGATCCGTCCAACGTGCGTTGGTGCAGTAGTGCTTACACTCTCGCCTCGCATGCCAGATGTCCGGGGTTCAAATCCCGGCACGGCCATTGGGATGTGCACTCTGATGAGCTCTAATACGAGTGTAACTCGGGTCCAGTGCTTCCCTTTGGTGTGGAATCTCGGGATAATTACGCCAGGACGACCGTCCAAACGAGGGTGGTGTGGATATGAACTAAATTCTCGAAGTCTATGAGTCCAGTTATTCGTAACAAAGTGTAGCATGGCCATTCCTGAAAGACAATCCAGTACGCGTTTAATCCTTATCGGGGCTTATCGGATTGGGTGGCGAAATCAGTCACTGCTATCTAACGATTCCCATTGTTTGCCACGAAGCCACGGGTTCACTTATCTCATTAGTGCGCACGGGGTAAACCAAAACGTCACTTTGGCTCCTTTTTGATGTACGGGTTTGTGGTTACTGACTGCGTGGCGCGGCCCGAGACGGTGAAGACTGTCAACCAATCGGTTGACCAGTCCGAGTCAGTATAACGATGTGGTGGATTGCTGGTTGATAATCCCTCATCACATGAGAATATTACAATGGCATTCTATAGATTCCAAGTTACAAAGAAGCACCTCGTTTCTTTCGCTTTTAGTGGTTAAATTTGTCGCGCATTCTTTCACTCATTTTTTTGTGATGAGCGACAACTTCGGTGCGTTACTGATGTCATCTGCTAATCACCGCGGTCCCAAGCCCCTGGTGAAACTGTACAGTGCCGTGTTGCTGTAACTTTCCCACTCCGGAGACGCGTACGTAGCTTCCGATCGTACATGAACTGGAATGCATCGGGTAAATAGGCAGAATATGCTTTCGTAACCAAACGACAGAACTGACGTGGTTCATATTCTACGAGTGGAGACTGAACATCATGGGAAAACTACTCGTGGACGACAACTGTCAGACAAGTCGTTAGTATGGGGAGCGGGAAACAAAACGTACGCGCTGATCTTCGATCATTGCAAAAAGGTTTGACGACTTCAATAGAAACGGTTTGGTATTGAT